ATATAAGTGATGAACAGAAACCATGAACTTTTGCATTTGTCATCTCTTCCAATAATTCTTTTTTCATTTGTGCCGCAATAATCTATAAATTTTATTTTATATAATTAACAGAATTTTAACAGAATTAACAGAATTTGTTTGATCTTATTTGTGTCATCAAATTGTCTCATTGATTATCTTTAAAAAAAAAAAAAAAACACCTAACAGATCAAAAATTATTATCTATTATACATTCATGTTTATTCTAAACTAATCAATAATTTCATCATTAATAAATTTATTTTTAAGGCTAATTTTGTATTATAAATTTGATAAAATAACGGAAAGAATTCATGCATAAAATGAACTTAATTAATTAAATAGCAATAATTATTTTTGATAAAATATTTCCTTCTATCTTTTGCTATTATCCTTTCTATCATTAAAATTAAATATTTTAATTGCTGGTTAATTTAAATAATAAAAATTTTATGTTTCATCTTGGCAAAAAAAAAAAAATTTGAAATATAAATTTCAAAAATGAATTATTATTACCTTAGCATTTTTATTGGTAGATTGACCTTCATGCAATGCTATAGCAACAGTTAAACCACGACCTTTTTTTAATTGACTTGCAAGGCTAATTAATTTTCGATTAGTTTCATTTTGTCGCCAATTTTGTGCTAATGGTAAATTTGCAATTAGAAGTAATTGTGGTCGCCAATTTTTTGGATGTGGTTGTTTATCTTCCAATTTTGAAAGTGAAAATTGTGCCGTACTAAGTATAAGTCCTGTCATACCATCACCCCATTCTTTTTATCACTGAAAAATTATATCAAATTAAGTATTCCTTATCATTCACCTTATCTAATAATGTAAACATGCTTAAAGGATTAATACATTTTTTTTGTAGATTATCTTGAGAAACAATTAGGAATAATGGTTATCAGTAAGGATTTTGTAAAATGAATTTTATAAATTTTTTTTTAAACACATTAATTTTATAAAATCGTTAGTTTACTGTATGAATTATTATTTAAAAAATTATTATTATTATTTTTTTGAATCATTACTTTTTTTAGTTTTACTGTATGAATTGTTATCGTTAATTTACTGTATAAATTATTATTTAGAAAACAAATTCTTTCAATTCAAAGAAAAAAAAAGAAAAACATCTTGACAATGATTTTTACTTAAAATTATTATTTTAAAAATTAAAAACAATGATATTAATTTATGATAGATGAAAAAATTTTAATTTTTTTTTCAATGAAAAAATTTTTAATTTAAATTTGTTAAATTTATAAAAAGATTTATTTACCCTTTCCATGATACATACTTATAGATTATACCACAAAGTAATGTAACAATAGTAGCATAAATCCAATGAGTTGAAAACATTATAAATAAGCATAATAATGTTCCTAATAATGATAAAGTCCTGAAAATGAATTTTTTTTTTGAAAATTATTTAAAATTTTTTTACAAATATAGAAAAAATATACTAAATGAATAAATAATATATTATGAAAATAATTTATTCATTTTTTTTATTGCTTATATTTTAATTAAATGA